TGTTTAATTTTATTTCACACAAATTGAGTTCTACTACTATTAATTATTTATAACCATTTGAATGTTTTCCCACCTCTTGATAATTTATCTCACTAATTTTTTCTATGTTGTATAAGTGTAATTTATTATTAATCCTATATGTATTTATTGGTGCAATATGTGTATACGAAGTACAAAATACGTATTATTGAGATTGCGTTTGTTGTAATCNAAATGTTTAATTTTATTTCACACAAATTGAGTTCTACTACTATTAATTATTTATAACCATTTGAATGTTTTCCCACCTCTTGATAATTTATCTCACTAATTTTTTCTATGTTGTATAAGTGTAATTTATTATTAATCCTATATGTATTTATTGGTGCAATATGTGTATACGAAGTACAAAATACGTATTATTGAGATTGCGTTTGTTGTAATCTTTAAAAAAATTTTGTTAAACTTTCGCATAACTACTTCTGAACTAGCAATCCTTAGAATTTCAAATGTGACTGTCATTCAACAAACCTACGCGGAAGATCAATATAAAGTGTAAATTAACTAAAAACTAAATGGACAAGGGATAGTTATGTTGAAGATAATAAATATATAGGATATTAAATATATTCACGATGCTGAAGTGGTTTGTGCGAAAGTGTCAGAGTTTTATATTGTAGTATTGTTAATCATAGTTAACGGTTAATTAATATACTCAGGATACAATTAATTCTACATTAATAAAGCAACATTACATAAAGTGATATAAGATGTTGACGTACAAAGTAAAGCAATACGAAAATCAAAGCGCAACCCATTTTATTAAGTTATATTGAGAATGGAACACCGGTAAATATTATTTGCGTAAAATGTTGGCCATAAGGAATTATAAAATATTAATTTGCTTTTCACCTTACACATATTTATTGTAAGTAATAGTTGTTTATTATAAATAAGAACGAAATCACTTATGTATCAGTTAATTGCTACATTAAAGTGTTGATATTATACTCGTTCAACTTGAGTTTTAATACCTCTTGTGACAAATACATACATATTGATTTTTATGAAACAATTGTTTCATTGTATTTTTAAATGAAGAAAGGTTTACAATCAGTTTAAATATATACAAATGTTGTGTATACTATAAATTGCATATTTTTTATTTAATACAAAAGTATGTCACTAATTTAACATTCAACAATTTAAAAAAAAAATGTCCCAGAATTCGATGTAACTGCATCATATATGAACGTATTGTGCACTGGTTTATACTGATTTGTAACAAATTTGATAACTTCTTGAGCAGCAAGACCACCTAAAAATGCTGATACAGAATGTAATTCTGATCCACCAAATCGACAAAACTCATGTACGTAATCGTCTTTTGCTAAAGGTCCGCATCCCCATTCAATTAATAATTTCAAAATGCATGCCTATATAAAAGAAATATCAATTATAATGACTAAAGTTGTAAATTATTTATTTTATTTTGACGAAGCAGTAATATATTATTATTCTGTTAAAAATACTTTAAGTTTGACAATATCTGGCTCCACTTGATCATCAAATTCGCCTGGATATGAGTTATACTCCGTTTGAAATTTTTCAATTCCTCTAAGAACAACATAGTAGATCATCATACTTTCTGGATCTTCTAAACTTTGCACTGAAAAAGCATATAAGATTATTTATATTTTTCATACTCATATAACTTTATGAACATTATAGTATATATAAAATATTACCTATATTACTTGCATCAAATACTTTAGAATCATATTCATCTGCGATACATGTTCCTCTTTCAACATGTATATCGGAAACATGCCTACAAAATAACTTTACATCTCTTTCGGAAATAGTATCTGACGGTTTTCCCAATTGTCGCAATAATTGTACTGTACGGCGCCACACTACTTCTGCGTCAGCTGTCGCTTGTTTGTGATAACTAGAAGATAAAAATAAATACAAATTTAAGTCGAAACATCTATACTGTAGAAAAAGACTTCTATAGAAAAGAAACCTACATTTGTTGAAGCATTATGTACTTATCAGTATCTGCAAACATATCTGGTAAAGTACCTTTTAATGGCAATAATCCACCTCCTTCATTTTCACAAAAATCTTTTATAGCCTTAGCAATAATCCAAAATGAATTGCTCTGCAAATTTATTACATCAATTTTATAGTTCTATAATTTTTAAGAATTTATAAGCAAAGAGGAGGCCATGTTTAACATGAGTTTATAATTCCCAAACATTTCAATATTTAACTTAAATGAAAATGATTAATTTCATGTATTTATAAAGAATTTTATATCACT